CACCACCAGTCTCCATACGAACGGACGATGATGTCGCCCTTTTTGTTGAAATGAGGTCCGAGATTAACCAGCTGAATCTCTGCATCACCGCGGATGATGATCAGCTGAGTGAGGGTGTGAGGGAGTCTGCAACAAGGGAGACGGCTATGGTTGTCTACGAAAAATCAGCCGATAACAAAGCAGATAACGAGGGTAATATATTATAACCAGTTGCCTATAAAGTAGTTAACTATTACATCAAAGTAGTTATACTAATACATTTATAAAGAAGTTATAACTAGCTGTTTAAAATAATGTTCTGTGCAGGAGAATCTCGTGGAAAAGATAAAAGCGATGAAAACAAAGAGGGTAAGATCTTAGAACTAGCTGTTTATCACGTAGTTGTCTATTACACTAAATATGCCCGAACTAACGTTACAAAGTAGACGAGTACTAACTAGTGTTACATAAACCGGAACGGTATACAACTATAAATAGACGTTGACGATGTGGATTATAAAAAAAATCAAGAATGAGATCTGTATTAATAGTTAACAGCTATTACTAATCACTTAATAATAGACGTTGTTGATGTTGGTTATAAAGTTTGAATCACTGTGTAATATATTTCTAGTAAATAATTATCATCTGACCACTATAAGTAGGCGTATACTATGCAACTGATTACCTTTAAGAAGCTGATATTTTAAGTCATGATGCATACAGGAGAATCTGGTGAGAAAGATGAGAGCGGTGACAATGTGGAAGAGCATGTAATTCGTCTGGATGGAGAGTTGAACTTTCTGGTGAGTGATGATGACTCGTTTGATGGGAGGAACGAAGAGTTCAACGAGTCTGCGAAGGATGATGAAGACTCGGTGAAGGATGAAGATGAGGTGGCAAAAAGACGTGCAAAAGGAAAGGACAAAGTGCAAGAAAACGAACCAAAAAAAAGGCCCACCAAAAAGGGAATGTAGCAATCATTCCGCCCGTTACAGCTGCGCCGACGAGACCATTAATGGGGTCTTCAATGAGACAGAGGAGTTCCCTGCCATGTTTGGGAGGGATGCTCCCCCAATCGTTGATGAAATTTCCGACGACAGTGAGTAGTTGTTTATATATGAGTATTTACCAAGTAGTACATTACTTTAGGAAATGATCAGATTGTGCCTTTGATAATGCAGGAATTGACAGTGCCTTGAGGGACGTGCGGTACGAGGGGGGACGGAATTTTCGTAGGCAGGATTTTTCGTAACAAAGTGGAGTGCAAGATTAAGATGGCCATCCATGCCATCAACAGAAAATTCCATTTCAGGACTCCACGCTCAACTCCAAGCTATATGGAGTTCCTGTGAGTTAATCAGAGCTGTCCATGGCGGGTCTATGCTTCCTTGATGGATGCGACAGGGAACTTCCAGATTAAGAAGGCCACGCTTAAACACACATGCCCCATTGAAGACCACTGGAAGTATCACAAACAAGCAACAACGCAAGTGATTGGTGAGCTGATCTCCACAAGATTTGTGGCAGGGCAGCGAAGACCGGGTCCAATAGAAATTCAGCGCATAATGCTCCAAGAGTTCCAGGTCTTGTTTATGGCTGACACCACAATTTCCTATCTAGATGACATTATTAGTCTTCTGTAGTTAACTACCCGTAGTTATCTGTTTCTATTATATCACACAGTAATTGTCTACTTGTATTACGTAGGTTAACATCTCTTACTGGAAGGCGTGGAGGTGCAGGGAACTGGCACTTGAAAGAGCGTTTGGATCAGTTTCTGGAAGTTTTGCCTTGCTCCCTTCGTACCTGGAAAATCTTCAGAGCTCCAACCCGGGAACGGTTTGCATGACAGAGTTTGTTGCGGACAAGAATGGTTGCCAAAGGTTCAAGTACCTTTTCATCGCGTTTGCTGCTTCAGTTGCTGAACTGAAATACTTGCGGCCCGTGGTTCTGATCGATGGTGAGTATTCTATTATAATAGATACCTACCTTGATAGTTGACTATGGAATATTCATAAATTATGTTATCATACTTTCATATCAGGGACACATCTTGTGAGCCGATATGGTGGCTGATTTGTGCAAGTGCTCAAGACGGAAACTTTCAGATCTACCCGATAGCATATGCTGTTGTAGACAGTGAGAACGATGCATGTTATGAATGGTTTTTCAATTGCTTGAAAACCATCATTCCGGATAGCAGCGCCGTTATGTTTATATCTGACCGTCATGGTAGCATATACTCAGGGCTTCAAAAGGTTTGTCGTAGAGAACTATATTTGTTAATAGTTATAATTATATATACGCATATATATAGTTAACTATGTAACTGGTGTATGTAGGTGTACCTATCCGCGGGCCATGGTGCTTGTCTAGTTCATCTGGCGAGGAACATTACAACCCGATTCAAAAAGAGCCGTCTTCCATCTCTTATGGTCAGAGCTGCAAAAGCTTACACAATGCACGAGTTTCAGCAAATATTTAAAGATTTGTAAAACATCAACCCTCGTTGCGCCAAGTATTTAATGGATATGGGATTACCACACTGGACTCGGGCGTAGTGCATTGGCGACCGCTACAACATCATGACTACTAATGTAGCCGAATCTCTGAACAAGGTATTGAAGGAATGCCGTGAGTTCCCCCTAATCTCAATGCTTGAGGCGATTAGAATGAGTCTTATCAGTTGGTTTGTAAGGAGGAAAAGTGCCTCAGCCGCTGAAAATCATGCTGTAAATCCCAAAGTTCGTGATATTTTGGACGACAACTTCTATGGTTGCACCGAACTGAAGGTAAACGTAGACGAATATTGTCTTCAATTTACTTGTAACCGAATATTGGTACTAACTATCATGTAATGAAGGTGGTTGCTGTGGGAAGCGATGAATACGAAGTTTACAACAGGAAGGGGGATCGGTTCGAAGTGAACCTAGTTTCCAAGTCATGCAGCTGCAGGGAGTTCCAAATGCTACTCATTCCATGCCGCCATGCAATTGCTGCTACTTCTTGCTGCGGAATTGAGATAAATGAGCTGTGGGAGAGGTGTACACAACAGAATACCGGAGAGCCCTTTATGACGGAGTTTTTCACCCAGTGCCAACACCGGTGAGTTCTGGTAACGAGTTGCTTCCTCCATTAATGCGCAGGCCACCGGGGCGTCCAAGGAAAATCAGGATACCATCAGGAGAGTTTAAGGTAAAATTCTGAAAAATGTATCCAACTATGTTGTAGACAACTATGTAAATTTCAAGAGAACTAATTAATTATGAATGAAACAGAGGCGTGCGAGGAATGCGACAAGGATTTGCAGCAAGTGTCAGGGTAAAGGTCACAACAGAGCTTCTTGCAAGCTCCCGGTCAAGGATAAGTAATGATTGTGTCAGGTGTTGTTTTGGAATGAGGCAGGGAGACTCGGATATGATGCACTTCAAATTTCAAGTGAAGGGACTACATCTTGTTTATGTGTAGGGCCTACATCTTGTTTTGCAAGTTTGAAGGTTTTTTTGATACAATGCATCAAGGGAAAAGGGCCAAAACCCAACCCGAACTAAATTTGATGTGCCAAAAAAAATCCGAACTAAAATACGGTGTCAAAAACTATCTGAATTTCAAAATAATTTAAATTTCCTATCCGAACTTTAATATAAGTGTCAAAATCTACTTTGACTAACTTTGATGTTAGTCAACTGTTAAAAAACGCTGACGTGGCATGACAGAATATGACTTGGCATGACACGTTATTATCTTACCAAAACGACGTCGTTTTACTAAAACAAAAAAAACAACGATGTATTCAATTCGCCCATCAGATGTCGGATCCGGTACTCGTCAAAGACGTGAAGCGAGCGGTTGGTGATGGCACGCGCTCGCGTCAGTCATTTCGTGGAGGCTCAGTTTCTTGGAATCTCTTGCCGTTGACAAGAGCGAGATCATCTCGGTCGCGGACGAAGACGAAGCAGATGGAAAGGGTTCCGGTGGTGCAGTTCGCATCAGGTGGAAACACGTTCTCGTTTTGTTTTTTTTTTATTTACACAGGCGAATTAATAATATATAAATGTATCTGTAAAACATAACCATAATGTCTCATGGTTCAACTCGTCTGCGCGTTTGGATATGGTATATAGTGTCTCGGGTTCGAATCTAGGAAAGAGGAAAATTTTTAAATTTTTTGTTTTAGTAAAACGACGTCGTTTTAGTAAGGTGACAACGTGTCATGCCAAGTCATATTCCATCATGCCACGTCAGCGTTTTTTAACAGTTGACTAACATCAAAGTTAGTCAAAGTAGATTTTGACACTTATATTAAAGTTTTGATAGGAAATTTAAATTATTTTGGAATTCATATAGTTTTTGGCACCGTATTTTAGTTCGGATTTTTTTCGGCACATCAAATTTAGTTCGGGTTGGTTTTGGCCCTTTTCCCGACTTAATTCCTGCGGATTTGTTTGGATTTGTATTGCCTCTAATACTCTTAACCCTTAATATTCTATGATTGTTGGATTTGGAGACTTCATATTCCTCACCTATTTTGACTACTTTGCATAGGGTGGATAGGATAGTATTATATTTGGTATACTAATAGTCAACTATTTATTCCAAGTAGTTAGTTCTAAATTGATCCTCATGAATTGGATGAATAGTATAATATTTGGAATGCTAATAGTCAACTAAGTATTCTAAAATAGGTAGTTCTAAAGTGATCCTCATGAATTGCCATAGTAGGTCTACTAAAAAAACGTGGATCTACTCATAATACATGGACGACCACTAGTAATTGTCTACTACAGTAGTTATATACTATTAAGTACGTACTCTAAAAAATAAGTCAAGCTAATATGAGTTCATCGTAGTTATTGAAATACAAATAAATAGTGCCTTCATAATACCACAAATAAGTTCAAGTTGTTAAGGTGTCAATAAACATTCAAACATCCAACAAGATAACAACATTCCAACAGCTTTAAAAAATAAAGGACAATAATAGCGTACAAAGTACGTCGGTTTGACATGGTTGGGAATCACGAAGACGGTTCGATCAGGCAAAGGAGATCGTAAGCAAATTTAAGAGCGGCATCACGAACAACATCATCACCGATAGCCATATCAAGTGATATATTGGAAGAGTGTAATTGAAGCGACATGAGCGTCATCAAGCCAAGTAGCCCTGCAAAAAATAGTTAGCTATTTGTAAGTGATACTAATATAGATAACTACTTGTAATTAGATTTACATATAATCGACTACTTGTATGTTAATATCTCACGAAAATGATAACATACCTAGGTTCAGTGTCTGGAACATCGGTTTGACGACCTTGATCGTGAACGGGATAAGGGTGTCTGATTTCATCTCGGTATTGTAGGCGACTTTCCTAATGAAATGAGGTAGGCACTGAGCGAGAGGGGAGACACTGGTCTTAAGCTTCATCTCCTTAAAAGTCTCGTAAGGATTGAGGACAAATATCTCATGGCTCTCAAAATCGATGCATAACCCAACCCAGTATTTACAGTCCACTTCGTAGGGACAGTAAATACGACCAATCTGAGTGTACCATGACCGCCTAGATTTGACATATTCAAGAGCACCAGTCGGTAGTGTGACTGGTTTCTTTTTGGGCGGGTTTATGAACTTCGGGTAGAGCTCTTCAATCTGGTGAATGAAGGCATACTCAACGAAGTCAACTTTCGAATGGGTATCGTTAATTTCAGAAAGCTGATGCCAGAACAACCTAATGACACTGTCAATAGACTAGCAAGAGAGATAGAGTTGGTTAGTATTCAGCTATATGTAAACGGAAATTAGTAGTTGCTATTAATAAACTACTAGTAAATGATTACCACAGAAGATATGGGGAATTTCAGGGATACTATCTCTTTCAGTATGTTCACCGAGAGGAATATCCCATCCCAGCAATCCTATTTCCTACACAAATGAAACACATAAATATGTATACGCATTACGTGCTTTCGAAATTAATCAAAAGTCGTTTACTTACCGACTTTCTTCCATCCTTGTTTGTAGGAAAGTGAGTTGCTCAGGAGTGGGTGGCGCGAAGAAATGACTCAAGTCCACCAAATTGTCATTCTTTTTAGATCGTTTTGGGCGTGGAACCACGTAGTCTGACATTGTGGTTGAAGGTTGGGCCACTCGTTTACTTTTACGGACCGGCTGGGGCTCCTCGCTTGGAATCTTATTGGCCTCTACCATGTTTTTTTCTTCTTGTGTAAGACCGAGTGACCAAACAGGAGGTTCAACTCCTTCAGGGATTTCGCTATTTGTGACGGGCTTTACGACATCCGTAACCTACCACCAATAAGACATAGTCGTTTAATGGTACAGTTAGCTATTAATAGTTAATTATCTGACGACGAGCACCAACCTTTCCTTGTTGTGGGAGTTCACTGCTGGTTTGTGCTGGGATAGGGGGCTCTTCCACTGCTTTAAGGTGCTCATTAACCTACAAATTAAAAAGATAACTACGTTACATCTGTTTATGTATTATACGACTATCTAACATATAAAAGCTTACTAACAATTGCACGATCTTCTAATGTTTTTTCAGACTTCGCAGGTGAAGGGTTTACGTCTCTAATTTGGTCATCCTCGACAAAAAATTGATCCATAAAGGGAATCCCAGAGTTTACGGCGGTGGAAGGAACTGTGGTATATGCCTACAATAGAAGTTTACAGGTAAGGCAGTAGTTGATCACACACTACAAGGTAATTGATTACTAGTAATCAACTACTTACCTCGTAAGGGTCCTTCGCTAAGTCCGAAAGAACCGAAGCTATCTGGTTATGAGCGATGGTCGCCTGGTCCAAAGCAGAAGAACCGCCCATGTCCATCAGGGACTTCGCCTGGTCAGCTGGTGCATTTACATCACCATCATGCACTCTATTACCACCATCCTCTAGTCCTTCAACATCTGAATCAATACATAGAAATGAGAAGTGGACATACACTAATAATCGGTTAATAGTCGTAAGTACTAACCATCATCGTCATTCTGGTCGTCATTCTGACCTTCGTTTCCAATACCTTCACCGTCGAGATTCACTTCTTCTGGTTGAATACATAAATATGAGAAATTGAAAATTCATTTAAGAATTGTATAATAGTAGTTGAATACTATATTAGTTATCTATTAGTATACAACTAACCATCTGCGTCGTTATGATCGTCCAGGGTTCCTTCGTTTTCGTTGCCTTCACCATCATGCTCTAAACCTACAACATGATCCTCTTATGAAGTAAATGATTACTAGTGATAAATTACTAATAGATAACTAACCTTCGACATTCTCCTCACCAACATAACTATCAATGCCGCGATCTCCTTTGATTCAGATGACTTTGTTTCTTCTTCTGAAGAAGAAACTTGGGCGAACCTTACATGGGTGGATTTCTTCGGCTGAATTCGAATGGGAGGTGTAGATTTCGTAGGCATCGATTTCTTCAGTTCCCGGTGGAATATTTCTTTGCTTGCCCGGTGGCAGATTTTTTTGGTTCTCCGGTTGTAGTTTCTTTCGGTTTATGCCCTTGTATATCAGAAATTGCAAGCTTGAAGTTCGACAATGCTGTGGAAACTTCTGAACGGAGATTGCCGAAATCTTCTCGGAGGTTTTTGAGCTCCTGTAAAATCAAAGACTGTGAAACATCGAGCTTGTCCAGAATTGCAGAGGAATCAGAATCCTTTAAAGGACCCTCGCAAGGTGTGCTACGGGAAGATGAGGCTTGGGTCTTCTCCTGCTTTTTATGAAGGCTTGCTTTTTGACCACCATTCCATGATTTCCTGGTAAATTTGTCACCTCGTGAAATTGCTGCAAGCAAGTTGTCTACGCGTTCGTCGGAGACATCATCATCAATTCCCAACTCGGTTTCAGCAAACAAGTTCTCATCGTCAGGTAAAATTGCTTTCACCTTCACCTGATATACCGAGAAAATGTTAGGTAAACAGTTACAATAATACACTTACATGTAATCAACTACTAATGTATACTAGTCTGAATATCCTCACTCCATAATAGTAGACATATAAGGCAGTATTGTGAAATTATGAATGAGAAGTAGTGTGTGACTATTAGTAGACGACTACAATTATATGTCTACCATCGTATGTATGCAATGAAATGTAAGTTACTATTATGTAGTTTGGATTAAGTGGTACCTTTACGTCCTTATCAAGATGCTTCACATGAGGCATTGATATGTTCACTGGCTTCGCACCACCAGGACGTATAAGCGGGGATTCATCCTCTTCGTCTTCATCGTCTCCTACCGATTTACCCTTACCCTTAACATCCTTCACCAATATAGTAGGCGCACACTCCAAAATCACCATCTGTAGTGCATGTAAAAAACCCTGAAAAGCACAAGTGGGCTGGAGGAAATTTGAAGGGGTATCTGTCTTACTTCTGATGCAGTCCATGGTCAAATCAAATGATTTACGACCCCAAGGATATTCAAGGAAGTTGTCAACATCTTTAACCATTAAGATGTGGTCGCCACTTATCCTAGCGTTTCTAGACGTGGGACACAACACACCATCTATGAGGAGTAGGCATGCGAGCTTAAATCTGGTTTCCTTGTCCTTGTATGGTCTGCCAGAAAGTGTGCTCGCTATCCACCCAGGAGTTGCATTCGCACTTGACCCAAATAACTTCTTCGTCTGCTTACTCAGCTTCCTCTCGTTTAATTCACGCTGTGGAGGCAACTTCGAACAATCTAAGCCGGTTGCAATTGCAAACTCACGAATTGAGAACCGAATGGGCTGACCAGCAAAGAGACACCACAACTCTTTCTTTTTTGCTGTAACCAACTGCCTAGATAACATGAAATGCAGGAATCTCACTGAAGATGAAATCTTGTTTCCAGTCTCTATAATTTTGCTAAATTGGGAAGAGGAAAGCTTCTCCAAATGGTCTTCTTCCAAAGCGCAAGTGATTGTGTCAATATAATTCAGCTGAAAGTAAGTGTTGACCTTCTTATTCTCAGGTTCATTGCCTAAGGCGAAAAGCCTATCCGGCAAGCTACTCATCGCTGCCCTGAAAACAACCAAGAAAAACAGTTTTAATTGAAAGTAGTTGATTATGCATAGGTATTTATCTTTTATTAACAGTCTAGTATGATCAGGTACATTTAGAGGTTGACTAACTGAAAAGGCTATTATAATAGTAAAGGGAAGAAAAACTGAAACCCTATTCGAGTACAAAAAAAAGAAATACACACCGACGCTGAGATGTTAACCTCGTTTTTACAAATTTGTTTATGGGTAGTTGATTATTCATAGAACAGTACCATTAGATCTAAACCCTGATGTGAAAAGACAATCATGACCCTAAGCCAAGGGAGAAACCCTAATCGATTACAAAAAGACGAATAACTAGCCACCCCATGACAGATCTGCGAGCACTTCAATAAAAAAACATAAACGACCAAACATCTCAACAAAATAACAGACCGAGTAATTGCGTACTAATAGTTTGTTATCGGTGCCTGACATAGAATTCATTTTCATATTCAAAAAACAGAGAAGAATAAGAGATCTCAAGTGTACGAATGGTATGAACTTAATTAAGAAAAGATATGCGGGAGAAAAGAGAACGGCGGACAGTGTTATACCTAAATCAAAGAAAGACGACGGCGAGCGCGAGTCGGCGGATTTCTTGGATTTCGCCGAACGAAATCGAAGTTCACCGGGAAAGCAACGTCGATGTCAGGCGGAAATTAAAATAGGTTACAATGGAGGGTGACGGTGAGAATACAAGTGAAACGACAACAGAGACAACAAAGAAAATAAAAGGGCAGTGCGGTTGCTGAAGAAGTTCGGAGGTGAGAGAGAAAAGTAAAGAAAATGGCAGACGTGACATGATGAGGGGTATTTAAGGGTGGTTTTGTGGAAGTTTTTTTTTTTTTTACAAAAATAAATTTAAAGGTTACCAAAACAGTTGACACAAATTACCCTCATGTATTTAAAAGTGAGTTACGAATTCAAACAATTCAAAAACCAAAAAAAAGAGATTTTACCCAGAAATCACGGAACCAGTATTCAACTACAACATAAACTTAATAACATCAAGTTAACAACTAAAAAAAATATAATAGCTGACTACTAGTATTCCATTACAACATAGTCGTCTATCGATTGAAAACACTCTTTGCCAGCTGGTAGTAAACATACAGGTAGCAATGCTCACAGATCATTTGATGCTTGAATCTGCATATGGGGAATTCGGAAAAAGGATTGGGAAAGATCCCGTGCACCGTCGGCTCTTTGCAAGCTTTGATCAAATCCATCACTTGATTTGCAATCCCTTCCATGTACTCCATTCGTGACTTCCAACCAACTATACGGTCAAGGATTACCAGCCCTCCCTCATAAAGACCGTATGCAGTGCCTCAAATTGCAAGCATTAAAGTCGCAGTATCGACTCCAGCTTTTGACGCTTTGATAAAAAACGTAACGGAACCCTCAATATCGTTATCAACTGTAATCTTGGTCATGCCGCGGAGGTACAATGATGTCGGATTACCGGCACTAATCGCTGCCTCAAGGAACATAGGGTACTGCTTCATCAAACTGGGTTTTTGGACAAAGGCACTAAGGTTTAAAACCCTAATGACAGATAGTTCCTTGAAAGTTTCGTTGAGGAACTTACATAAACAAGCAAACGAGCAAGCGTTTTTTGCAGACTCCCTTGCAACTCTTTCAAAAATATCAACCAGTGCATCGCGGATCTGGAGAAACAATTCATTTGCAAAGGGGTCCGGCTCGGATAGTCGGATATTTCGCATATCACTGAACACAAAACGAAAAAATATAGTCCACTACTAATAGACGATGACGAGATACCCTGGGATTCGTAGATCTATAAAAAAAGACGATGACGAAAAGCGAGAATTGAAGAGCAAACCCAAACTTCAACGAGGTGATAATCGACAAATTACCTTCCACAAATCATCGTCGAAGCAAACGCTTTCGGGTCCATGGTTTAGTTCGCCTTAAAAAATTACTCTGGTTCGCCGGAAGAATCTCTCTGCCTCGCTGGAAAAAAGTGAAACAGAGATAGGGGATATTTGATGAGAGAGAAGAAATGGGTGAACCGATAATGTGAGAAGAAAAGTAAAGCTTCTGTGCTGCAATGATTTGTAATTCAAAATTTGAAAAAAAGTAAAAAAGAGAATTGCTGTTTGTCAGAGAAAAAGAAGCAAGCAAAAATCGGTACCCGCTAACGTTTAAAAAACATGTTATCGTGTTGTTGTGATGAGGAAGTAAGAGGTATTTTCTCACCAATAAAATAATACTGTTTTATCAAGCTAATTTGCTCTTGGATTGTTGCTACCACACCTAGTTTCCCTTTTTCTATAAACCTATTAAAATAATATATTAAATCAAATTTATTTAAAGTTTATTCAATTAAAAAAAAAAGAGTAGATGGTATGTGACCCCGATAGTCACCACCTAAGTTCGCTCCTTACCAGGTGAAGTTTTCACCTTCAGATAGTTAAAAATAATTGAAATTGCAATGGAAAGACTTGAACTTTACAAAAAGTTGGACTATGGACATATTCCACTTCCCTCATTACCCGACCCGGCCGATCCTCATCATTTGAAGGTAAGCAAACACTTGCTTTAAGATAATGGAAGAAAAACAACCATAATCATGTCTTACAAACAAAAGAAACAAAATGTTTAATCGTAGGATACTTTAAACCATTTTATATTTTTCACTTTTTTTTTTATTTTGACCTTGAAAAAAAACGTGAGACGGGTTTATAGTACACTTTAAGAATCATTTAATCAACATCAACATAAATAGTAAACAGTAATAGGTAGCCTATTGGTCCCTTCTCCGCTATAAATTTACCTTCCATTATCTCTCTCTCTCAACTCAAAACACCTATACTCCAACTTTCTCAGTTCACATAGAAGATGGAAAATCCTAGCCTTAATGATCTCTCTCAGATCCTCCCTCGCGTCCTTGTCGTCTCTAGACGCACCCTTCGCAAGAACAAGTTCGTAGATTTCGTTGGTAATACTTCCTTCATGATTCCTGGAATGTACGTTTTGCTCTTACATTTTCCACTATCTTCGTGAGTTTATGTTAGATTTGTTTGTTTCATTTAGGTGAGTATCATCTTGATCTTATAGTGGAGCACGGTGCTGTGCCGGTGATTGTACCACGTGTGGCTGGCGTTCACAAGTTGCTTGAGAGCTTCAAACCTATCCACGGAGTTCTGCTCTGTGAAGGAGAAGACATCGACCCTTCTCTATACGAGTCTGAAATATCGTTACTTTCACCTGAAGAACTCGACGAGATCCGGAAAACACACGCGAGTGATGCAGCTATTGACAAGGAAAAAGACTCTATTGAGTTTGCTCTTGTAAAGCTCTGCCTCGAACAGAACATTCCTTATTTGGGGATTTGCAGAGGATCACAGGTAAAGTATCCTTGAATTAGGTCTTAGCCCTCTGTTTGATAAGAGAACATAACACAGTAGAACCTCTATAAATTAATACTCGATAAATTAATAATCACTATAAATTAATAAATTTTATCTGGTTCCGAATCGGGTTAGTGTAAAAATCCATCAAATTCGATAAGATAATAAGATAATAATTTTTTTGAAACTCCTATGTAAATATATGGTTCCAACATAAACATAAATTAATAATTATAAAATTTATGTATATATATATATATGTAAGATATAATATACTAAAATATGATTAATGTGTTGTTTGTTTTTATTTATAGTTCAAATTTTATTGAAAAAAAACTATTCAAATGCTAGATTTCCTAAATTGTTCTATGCATATCTATATTATTATATACGAAGTTAAAAATATGATGTGTCGTCTTCATAGTGATTGTCCTATGTGCCATTAATAAAAAAATATTATGTGGCGTTTTATTTAGCTTTGATAGGTTTTGCGTAACAATCCGTAAACTCTTTGTTCATCTTATAGTTCGTGTTTTTTTAGTTGTGATGAAATGCTTTGTTTTATGGTAATTTTGACTTGTGTTTTCCTTTTATTTAGTTTGGGGTTCACACATATATGACAAGATTTTAGTGAGTTATTTTTATATTTACAAGGATTAGATTACCATATTACTATTTCTGGACTTTTTTTTCTCGAATTTAAATATAACCCACCTAAACTTAATAAGTAATAAGAATAAAAATATATATAAGAGAAGGTAAATCAAAAGATAAAAAAAGATAAGGTAATGAGGACGAAGCAAGAGAGGAAGAGGAAAAAGACAAAGTAATAACAGAAAGAAGGAAAATTAGAAGAAAGAAAATAATGAAAAACCGAATGAAAAAGATGAAGTTTAAGTTAGAGAGAGAGAAGAGAGAGAAGAAGAAGAAGAAGAAGAAGAAGAAGAAGAAGAAGAAGAAGAAGAAGAAGAAGAAGAAGAAGAAGAAGACACATACGTTAAAGAAGAGGAGAGAGACTAGAGAGATAAAGATGACAAAGTATGAGTAGAGAGATAAAGATGACAAAGTATGAGTAGAGAGATAAAGATGACAAAGTATGAGAATGTGATGATGGGAAAGGAGAGGGGGTGATGGGTAAATATTGCATATGTGTAAAAAGAGGATAAACAACAGAATATATTGTTGATGCTGATGAACATGACGCATTTAAGAGTCTTATATAATGACGTTTACAACAAAATATTGTGTTTGATAACACTGTATTTTGACCCTTTTTATGGATATTTTTAGTTGCTTTTCAAATATTTTATTATTTTTAGTGTTTTATTGTGTTTTTACTATGGATCATGCGAAGTTACGTGCAGCACATAGAGACATGTTGAAAACCATCACCGATGAACAACAGAGTATAAATGATTAAATTATCGGAGCAGTAAACAATGATATTGGTGGTATATTTTTCGTATATGATTTTGGTGGAATGGGTAAAACTTTTTTGTGGAGTAAACTTTTTTGTGTCAAGCGGGATAACATCATTGCTGTTGCAAGAGGGCAAACTGCCCATTCGAGATTTGGCATCCCGATTGTTGTTAGTTCGAATACAATGTGCTCAATAAACAGCAATTCACCTCAGGCTGATTTGATAAGAGAAGCTAAATTTACTAATATGGGACAAGGCTCGTATAATGAGTAAATATTGTTTTGAGATTCTAGATAGAATATGTGTGATATACTCAAAACTGGTGACATTTTAGTGGGAAAGTCATTGTATTTGGTGAAGATTTCAAGCAAATATTGCATGTTATTGACAGAGGTAATAACATTCAAATTCTTACGGCTACCATAAATTCTTCTACTCTATGGGACAGTTGTACTGTTTTGGAACTGACCAAGAATATGAAGCTTCAAAATAGTGTTGGAGATGATCGCGTTAATGAGCTAGAGTCTTTCTTGAAGTGAATTTTGGACATAGGCGACGGCAAAATTAATTCGACTAACGGTAATGAAGCCAAAGTTGAAATCCCTGGCCATTTACTGATAAAAGAATGTTTCGATCCTGTTAAGGAGATAGTAAGATAAGTGTATGTTGATTCGTACAGATCGGAGAGAAACCCAAAGTTTTTTCAAGATAGAGCAATTCTCAGTCTACATGTTGTCGGAAATACAAGGTAAACATATTTAACGCTTTATGCATATAGATATATGATCTTACACTTAAGCTCAGACAGTATTGATACTTCTGATAAGGGCAATATTGACAAAAAAATCTACACCTAGGAATATCTTAATAGTTTTAAGATCTCTGGATTGCAGAACCATGAATTAAAACTGAAAATATGAATTTCTATTATGTTGCTTCGAAATATTGACCCTATAAATGGTTTATGCAATGGAACAAGACTCTTAGTAACACAATTGGTCAAACATGTTATTCAAGCTAACCACGTAAGTGGTGAGTATATTGGTCAAAAGGTCTCGATCCCATGAATGATTGTTTCCCCCACCGAGACAAGTTTTCCTTTTAGAATGAGGCGTAGACAATTCCTTGTAGTCATCGCCTATGCAATGACAATCAATAAAAACCAATGACAGACTTTTCAAAATGTTGGACTGTATTTACCAAAACTCGTATTTTCCCATGGACAACTTTATGTGGTTATATCACATGTTACTTCAAGAGCTGGTTTGAAGATTCTGATAACAGATACTATATATGGGTAAACCACAAACCAATACTTTGAACATTGTATATAAGACAATCTTTCAGAATGTAAAGAAACTGTAGTTTATTTTATTTGTTTTGGTTTAGACCTTTACTAACTAAATTGTCTGTTTTAATGACACTTTGATTTACTTGTGTTTCAGAATTGTCTTGATTGTTGAGA